TCAAACAGCACGATCAGAGGTTAGGCTCAGTTCCAGCGTAAAGGCCACTTCTGAAGAACGAATGGAGCTTATGAGACTACTGGAAAAATATTCTGAAAACAGAGAGGTCGCCAAAATCATTCAAGAAATAAAATCTGAAAAGATTGAACTCAGCGCCTCTTCGATCCAAGAAATTACCACTGCAATTGCTGAGATGTCCAAAGTTTCACAAACAGAAAGCATCAGTCAAGCTGCAGCCTCATCTATCCGGGAGGTTCTGACAAAATCCGTGAAAGAGACTATTGAGGAGACGCTTTATACCATAGTCAAGTCCATAGAAACAACATCCACAACCCAGCTTGCTAAAACCTTGGCTGCTTCGTCAAGTGTAGAAGCACGTCTTCGTGCTGCTGAACAAGAGGAAGCCTCCATAGCCCTGGAACTCGTTCGGAATCTTCTAGAAGACCGCTCAACAACCCTAAAAGAGGAGCATCGTGCTTACATTCAAGAGAGATTTGGTATCAATGTCGGTACGCTTATGTCCACATTTGAAAAGATTTCTAGCGCAGAAACAGTCACACAAGAATTTAGCGAAATAGAAACTCGTACAGAAAGAAAAACTGTGCATGAATACGGTCAGGAGTCTGTCGCGGTTCAGGGAGACCTACAAATTCTCCAAAGACCCAAGGAGCAAGAAGACGCGGCCGAATCTGTGCGCAAAACGCGCCATTATCTGCACCTTCTTCATAGCGTAGCTGCAACCTCAGAGGAACAAGCAAAACTCGTACAGTTACTGAGCAAATATCAAAGTGATGAGCATGTGGCAAGTGTTATACGAGAACTGACATCTGGACGAGTTGTCTGGAGTGGCTTAGCCGTTCGCACTATCACATCAATCCTAGAAAAAGAAATAGCCAGACATGAGGAAACATCTGAAATCAGCAGGGTTGTGTCAGACACCTTGAGGACGGCAATCTCGCAAGTTGTGCGGGAAGTCGTGGACGAGAATGCTTTTGCGATGATTCGCACTTCGGAGGAAATGCCAGCCACTGAGGTGGTAAAGGCACTATCTTCTCATGAAACCGTAGCAGTTCATGTTGAAGCTCCAGAAGAGACAGCTAGCTCTACCACAATTGATCTTTC